CCCCCCCCCCCCCCCAGACCCTATTCTAATGCTTTACGGCCCTTTTTTTAGCCCCAAACCAAACCCCAAACCCTAAACCCCAAACCCCCTAAACCCTAAACCCCCCGGACCCCGGCTGAAGGGCCTGACCGCGGCTTCTGCAGCAGACCGGTTGCCTCCGACTCCTGGATTCTGGGGCCCAGAGGATTCGAGTTTAAGGGTTTAGGGCTTTAGGCCTTTAGGGGTTTTAGGGTTTAGGCCTTTAGGGGTTAGGGGTTTAGGGCTTTAGGGTTTAGGGGTTTAAGGGTTTAGGGTTTAGGGTTTAGGGGTTAGGCTTAGGGGTTTAGGGTTTTAGGGGTTTAGGCCTTTAGGGGTTTAGGGCTTTAGGGGTCTAGGGGTTTGGGGTTTAGGGCGTTAGGGCTTAGGGCTTTAGGGTTTAGGGGTTTAGGGGTTTAGGGTTTAGGGCATCCTTCAAAGGCTTCAATCAACAGGTACTAGATGGTTTCCAATAAGGATTTAGGGAGGCCTTGCGGTCAGGGTAGCAGGTTCCGGGGCATCAAGGGTCGAGGATCTCAAGGCCCAGGGTCCTAGCTTTGGGCTATAGTCAGTACCAGTAACCTCCTGTAGCCTCGATCTAAGCATAACAGAATCCGGCTGGGTGGAGGGTGTCCGATGATTCTGAAGCTTTCGAACTTCGGCCAGTAGGATCACAGGCTTGCAATGTCTACGCGCTGGATGACAAACAGCTATAGAGCTTCTGCCGTTTCCTGGGCTCTAGAACTCGTGTTGCGACCCTACATACACCTGGAGCCCTCAAGTTAGACCTCTTGCTTCGGGAAGTGTGCCATCGCCTGAACAAAACCCTAAAGTCAAAGTATTCGGGGTGTGGGGTGTTGGGGTCTAGAGTTTATTGTAGGGCCTGGGGCTTTCAAGGTGGACCCAACAGAGCTCTTGCCGCATTTTGCCGCATGCAACATCGGCAACAGGTAGCATTTTGCTGCAAGGAAGAAGCTGGGTGCAAGGCTCTCCAGGGAAGGTTCCTCGATAATTCATGCTGCTGGTACCATTGCCTGTGCCAGAACTTCTCTCATCCTTGCTGCAGTTTCTTCTTGTTGGCTTCAATGATATTGCAAGCTCGTGCATGACACTGCCTCACGACTGACGTGATTCCGAATGCATCCCTCGTCTTGATACTCGCATCTCCAGCTTGGTAGTTGACGTTTTGACATCACCATGGCCGCCACAACTTAGCGGAGCCGTTGTCAGGACCAGGATCGAAATATCACGGTCTAGGGATTAGGCATGAGACTTGCGAGTTGCCGAGGTTACATCTTCAGCTCTGCACCAGACATTGGACGAAAGAGCCCATGCAAACAAGTTCTGGCTTGATCTTGACAACATAGCCCGAACATGTTCCTGGACATATTGCCTCTGAACCATAAACCTCCCAGACTTGTTAAGTTCTGCCGGACGCCAGTTTCACATGGCCGTTCTATTTTGCGTCGCCCAGGCTAGAGCTTGAAGTCTGATGAAAGCAACACCCTGACATATTTGGAGGGCCTGAGTACTTGGACTAAGGTCTTGGTGAGCTTTATGCTGTCATTATACCGGTACATATATATATATATACACTGTATTAAAATTGTATGTGCTTATATATGCATAGGATCCTACTCCTAATCACTATCCCGATAGCAGCAACAAACAAAATAGACATAACAAAACAATCACACCACAACGAACTCGCATGAAATAACTATCTTACTGTTTGTTAGCTCACAAGTTTCGGCCCCTCAGGTCCTGGAGGAAGCAGATGTCCCTGCTGCCTGAGTAGGTCTGACAAACAGTCATGAACTAAGATCTAAAATGGTCGTAAAACTATGAGGACAACCAGGGAACAGTATGTTGCAGATCAAACCCATAGATCCTAAACCCTAAGCCCCTAATATCAGTCAAACTCAACGCTGTTGCAGACCTTTCCGAGGCGGCTACCTGGAGGTGCTTCGGCCAAGCACTGCCAGCTCAAGCCGGAGGCACATGAACGAATCACACCCCAACACTAACGTTCCCTTTCAGGTGCTTCTTGTATATACATACATATATATATATATACACATAATGTGGTATATTAACGGACCCTATATGACCTCAGAAGAAGGGAGGCTTCAAACGTGCTGTTTCGGTTCACGTGGCGCGGTGCCTGTGTTGCTTGGGTTCTTGGTCTCCCATCTCCTGTGCTTTGGTGTCGAACACCGACCCTAGCTCCAAGCTGAAAGCAAAAGCTGTCTCTGCCAGCATGCAGCCCTGCAGAAGCTGAGTCGTGGCTGTCTCGTCACACGCTGCGCGTGTCGTAGTTGCCATTCAACTTCCCAGCGACACACCCCGACTGCTGGCTGCGGGCAGGGGGGCAGGGTGTCCGACAGACTAGGCTAGCTAGGAGTTTGTCTGGGGTCTGTGCTGTCGTCTCCGATTACCCGTCCCGTTGTGTTATGTTCCATAGTTGCCTGAAATTGTCGGTGGGGTTGGAGTTGAAAAATAGGTCTGGCTGCAGGGATTTGCGGAGCATTGTCGGTCTGATTGTCATCTGCATGATCGTCTTTGTCTGAGTTGGGGGTTGGCACTGGAACAGAAATCGCCACCCAAACCACAGAATGGGGTGGGGGATGGGGGGGGGGGGGGNNGGGGGGGGGGGGGGGGGGGGAAGAGGCCACGCTTGTCAATGTAACGACCCTTTTGACCGCCAGTGCTCCTGCACTGGGGGGGGGGAACATATTCCTTGGCGGTGGTTGCGGACCAGGGAGAAACGGAGCTATAAAACAGGGACAGGGGCCGCAAGGGAAACCTTGCTTGGCTGTCAATGAAACGTGCAGTGCTTTGGGCTACCATAAAGTATATCATACCTACTGGATAGCGATACTGCTTCTCACCTTTCAGACCGGTATCGTTGTATCGTCTACGGCTGCAATAAGTGCCTGCGAGCTTCCGGCCAAGCCTGTGCAAAAGTGTGTACGAACAGAGTAAAAAATAAACCAACGTCGCAATAAAGCAAAGGACTGGACTCCCCGAAGTGGTCTAGCCTGGTTCGTATTCCTGGATATTCGGGTCCCGACAACACCACGGGTTGTGCATTTTACATCCCCAACTCAAAGCTGGACTGACGTAGCAGCTCCGCCGCGTTGCAATAGTTGGTGCTCGCAGCGATCATCTTCTGGGCGATGTGCTGGTTCCGTCGGTTGTGGCTGGCGCAGTGCTTCGCCACACACTTGCTCGCCTTCATGCCCTGGGTAGGCCGGAGATGGAAGGTAGCTTGAAAACCTTACTGAACTGCTTGTAAAACGCTGATGTTGTGCCCACTGAAGCTGTTGATATCTGCGGCAGCGGTGTGTTGGTACTACCGTCGCCGCCATTGAAACTGACTACCCCCTTACATGCTGAACAAGCACGGAGGTATTGGCCTGGCGAGGTTCTAGTGACAAGGTGCCGGCTCTGGGGTGTTATGCCAGACTCGGTGTTGGACAGATCAGGGGTCAGGCTAGCGGGTTAGGTTTAGAACGCTTCGGGGCTCAGGATCCGTACCTAGAGCTCAGGAAAGCCTTTGAGCTCTGAACCTTCTTGCTAAGGAGGCGCCGGGAGCATTCCCGCATTGCACACGATCCGACAGACCCATGTAGAGTGATCGCACACCTGCTCATAGTCGGGCACCTCGGATCCGGCGCTCCATCTCGCATCCAGCATACTGTAAAAAAGCTTGAAACTGCGGCGAAGACCAATAAACTCAAGAACCCTAAACTCAAGCCCTGAGGCTCTGAGTCCTGAACCCCCCAGAAAATAACTGATCCCGAGTGACAGCAACATTACAGGTGCCGCTGGCGAGAGCGCCCACGACGAACCTTGGCTCCGATACAGACAAAGGGGACCTGATGATCAGGTTTAGGATTTAGGATTCTGTTCCTTTAAGGGGTCCATAGGGGTTTAGGGCTTAGGGTTCCTCTAATTGGTCTTAAAGGGTTTAGAGTGTAGGGTTCGGTTAAGGGGTCCAAACGGCTTATGGCATAACGGCACCTTACAGGCTTAGAGTTTTAGGGTTTGGGTTTCTACCGGATTTACGGGCTGTGGGAGATTAGGGGCTTCATCATTAGCACCGTAGGGTCTTACAAGGGTTTATACGTTCTTTGTAGGGTTTCCACATAATACAGGGGCGTTAACGGTAATACTGGTTAAGGACAGTAAGGTGAAACTATTTCCAAGATCAGACATGCGCGTTCTACATCATGGCTTGGCTGGCTTGGTGCAGCCAGTGCTCGGGTTTGGGGATTGCGGTTTCGTCTTCTCCACACTGATCACAGTCGAGGAGGCTATGCGAATGCCATTCACGCTAATTAGGTGGCTCCTAAACTCTCAACCTCGAAACGATGGACTCCTAGACCCTACTCAACCCTTAAACCCTACACCCTCACGAAAGCCCGAAACAAGCCGCCCTGGAAAGCCTTCGCCCCATGCTTCCCTAGCTTCCAAGTCACGAGAGCAGAAAGATGATGTCACCTGGGGCAACTCTTCTGGGTTTAGGGTTTCAGCACTCACGCTCGGTCAAGCCTGGGCGAGGGTTGTTTAGGGTTTCTCAGAGGTATAGTTACAAATTATGCTTTTTTCTTTCGAGGGATCTGCAAAGGTAATAGCAAGCTTTTTGACACTGGGAGATGTGGGACATCTAGAAGGGATTAAGGCAGAAGCACTCACTGTGAGTGGTTTCTTGAAACTGTATTGTATAAGGCTTGCGCATTTAGGTTGATTTAGGCTTTGAAAAGGGGCTTCGAAACTTCTAGGGTTCCCATGACTTCAGAGGTGAGGGTTGGACAATTTCGTGTCTAGGATGCAGTGCATGCAGGGTGAAGTGAAGGGCCGAAAACAAAGATTGCTCTCAGCAGGAGGAACTCTTGCGCAAATCTCTGATATAAGGACTCAGTAACATAAATCCTGCCAAGGTCTTTTGACATAATGCTCAAAATCAAAAGACAGCAAGGCAGAACCCATAGATGCGTTGGAGAAAATGCCCTAAAGCCTGAACCCTAAAACGTAGCCCAGTCGCGCATCACTTGGCACCGAGGGGTGTTTCTAAAAGCCTCTCGTTAGCCTCGTGCCGCACGCTGGGCGACTGGGAGGACGGCTGAGAGCAAAGCGATGCGGCGAGAAATGGCGATTCGAGCAGGATTGGGGATAAGGGACTTGGGGGCCTCCCGGATTTAGGGTTTTGGGGTTCGGGGCTGGATCCTAGGGCTCTGTATTCGGGACCTGTACTTTTCAACACCCCTGTCGCAACATGCAGGGAGCGCCGCACGGCTAGAGGCCTAGAGGATCACAGACAATGATCCTGTCATTAAGTGGAGCTTCTTGGCAGCAATCTCAAAAAAAAAATGGCCTCTACAACTACAACTTGCTACCCTAAAGATCGAAACTACGAAGCCCGGAGTCCCAAACCCCGCGGCCACAGCCATGCCTCGATCCACACCTGCCCGGAAGCCCAACTCCTGGAAACCCTGAAGGCTCTATAGATCCAAAGCCCGCAAGCCTAGACCCTAAGACCAAAAGCTCCACAAGACCCTCAATCTTAAACCCTAAACCCTTCAAAACCTATAAACCCCCAAAATCCTAAACCCTATAATTAATAAACCCTAAACCCCTAAAGCCTGAACCATAAAACCAATAAACCCCTAAACCCTGAACCCTATTAAAC